CATCAGAGTAAGAGAGTGCCAGTTTCCCCGGAGCCTCACCAACGTGGGGTGTTATCAAATCTTTCGATCTTTGTCAATCTGATGGGTTCAAAATAGTATTACAGTATAGTTATAATGTTCATTTCTCTTATGAGGTTGCAAATCTTCTCCTGTGGCTAATAACCGTTTGCTTTTCTTTCTCTGTGAGTTCAAGACTCATATCCTTTGTTAAATTTTCCATGGACTGAATTGTAATATTTTCCTTCTTGATTGTTTCTGAGCCCTTTATATATTATGGACATTGTCCCTTTGTGTTGTGAGCTATAGTTTATGCCACTTGTCATTTGTCTTTTAAATTTTATTTAATTTATTAAATTAAAAAAATTATTTTAAAAATTTTATTTCATTTCTCTTGATATTGTTTGCGTGACTTTTACCTTGTAGATTTTTTTCAATGTTTATATGAAATCAGCTGTTTTTATTTTTTCTTTTATGGCCTCAGAGCTTTGTGTCATACTGACAAGGAGGGGAACCTTTGGTAAGACAGGAGGTTGGAAGGAGCGTTCTGAATAGAGGGAATAGCAGGTGCAAAGTCCTGAGGTATATTAGTCAGGGTTCTTCAGAGAAACAGAACTAATAGGATGGATACGTAGAGAGAGAGATTTATTTTAAGGAATTGACCCATATAATTGTGGAGGCTGACAAATCCAAAATCTCAAGGGTGTACCGGCAGGCTAGAGACCCAGGAAAAGAGTCTGAAGGGAGTCTGCTGGAAGAATTCCTCCTTTCTTGGGGGAAGCCAATCTTTTTTCCTGTAGACCTTCAACTGATTAGATGAGGTCCACCCACACTATCAAGGAGTAATCTATTTTCCTCAAAGTCCACTGATTTAAATGTTTATCTTATCTAAAATGTATCTTCTTAGCAACATCTGGACTGGTCTCTGACAAACATCTTGGCACCATAGTCTCACCAAGTTGACACACAAAATTAACCATCACAAATCCACACGTTGTCAGCTTGCCACACACACCTCCTTAAACCACACTTAATCTGCAAATAAAGGCAATAAGAAGATTTGCTTCTTTGCCATTCTGTAATTGAAATACTAAGACATAATGTTACTAATACTTAAATACTTTGCTATAAAGTCAGTACATCTTATGTTAACATGATATGGAGGGAAGAGAGGAA